TGACAATGGCAACCACTTGCTGGCAAGGCTGCCGATGGCTCCCTTTTTCGAGAAAATCTATTCACTCCTAAAGTTCGAGCGGAATTGGGATGAGGGGAAGGGAAGAAACACTACGATGGGTTCATGCTATTCTGAAGTAAAATAGTTACAACGATTTGTGGCTCAGAGTGAGAATAAGCAGCCCAGCTGCTTCTTAAAGTATACGGTAATAATAAGAATCCTATAAAGCCATGCTTTAAAGTATATTTTTAAAACCAAAAATTCTTTCATTTTCTAGCATATTTTGGCGGATGAGATGCAGTTCTAGCAAATCTGCAACCGATTTGGCACTACATCTCAGATAACATCACTGCTGTACAACAGCGATCTAAGTAGTTTCACTAACAAAAAACTGTAATGTTCTCAACTAGCTCGATAATGCATTCGAAAAATTTCTTTAAAAAAAGCAAATTTGTAATATTTTTAACGTACTTCGGCCAGACTGACTTCCTCCGTGCCCCAGAATTGATGTTGTGCCAACAACTGGGTTAGTTCGATGAGGCATGTTTCGACTGTAGTGCTGCTACAATTCCATTTGGCCAATAACTCAATCAATTGTTCAGAATCACTGTACAGTTTTTCTTCTTCCTAAATTCTTATTGAGAATTTCTCAAAAAGTACCAAGTCAAAACGCTTTTCTTCGAGAGCATGTAGAATTTCTGGGCAAAACAAGAAAACTGTTTATCTGAAGTCATAATACTTCTGGAAGTAAAAAAAGGTAACCTTGAAATCTGCTAAGTAGTTGTGGGGATTACGCCTCTGAATTGCATTTGCAGGATAAAATCCAATTGTTCCACCAACAAGATGTAGTAATCGTTGCGCAAAATAACCTAAATCATTTCGAAAATCAAACTTGCTCACGGCATTAAAATACAAAATTAGCGCACAACTGTACTTATTAGATTATAATAAAAGCTTTAAGTTCAATCGTTATGAAATTCTGCCTCATAATTTTTCGCATTCAGTAACTTTAATGGATTTTCCAATCCAGGTCAT